CCCCAAAACCCCAAAACCCCAAAACCCCAAAACCCCAAAGCTTAAAACCGAATTGAAAATGAATTTTACGTATAAAATTTATGTAAGATCTCTCCCTTCCCATTTTAAGGAGATTACCAAGGATTGATCATTTCTGCAGGCTTGGGTGAGAAGGATATATCTGACCGTATACCTTGACAGCTATATGCTTATACACTTCTAAATACCTTTTATTATGCTTGTACCTTGTAGAAGAAATATTAAACTCTCTCGACTTCTGAATATCAGTGTGCCTTTTCTTTAAAAATATCTTCTCATCTTGGTTATTTGGAGTAACTATTTTTGTGATACTAGGATCAGGACTGGTGGGAAACCCATCTGATGCCTTTTTAAAACTCTTTGCTAGCATGCTTCCAGAGTCTTTAAAGAATTTTCTTGGATGAGCTTCACCAAGCTTTGTAGTATTATTCACAAATGTATCAACAGATAGGCTAAAATATCAAATAAAGTCTCACTTCTTAGCATTTTTATGTCGGTATAGTCTCTTGTTTGGAGTCCTTAACAAATTCTTAACAGAGTCAACTATATCTGATTCTTCCTTAAAAACCGAATCAGAATCTCTTCTATTTAGATTTGCCTGCTGCTTGTCAAGCATCTTTTCAGGGATGAGGAGCTTCAGGTCTCTACTAGTCGAGTGTATCTGGATTATCTTAGAGGGGTCTATGTTGCCTGCATCAAGGAGCTCTATGAGCCCATTCCTATATCTCTTGAGCTCCCTTTCATATGCAATATTTTCATGTCAGAGCCTCTTGAATTGCTGATCTAATGGAGACTTGCATTCTTCAAACACTGCATTGAGGTTCTCGAACTTTTCGGTTAACTTAGTCTTTACTATGAAGAAGTCTTTCTTCAGGAGCTCGATCTCTCTCAAATATTTGTTCAACATGAACTCTAAACAATTAAACAAGTTCTTTCATATAGATTACCTGGAGTAGACTTTAGCTTAAGCTGGGCCCGATCTTCTCCAGATCGTGATATCATAAATGAAATACTTTTCTTCTGCGCTTTTGAAATTTTCTCCAAGGTAGATATCCTCTTGGAGGTCTCTTTCTCCTCTTTAAGTAAGTTCTCCTGGACTCTTTCAATGTGCTCAAGGAGTTCAGTCTTAGCAGCTTCCACATGCTTCATAGAAATCTTTGATAGATTTTGTAAGAGTTCTTTCTATAAATAAAGTTATGAAACTGGATGAAGAAATTCATATTACATTCTTCACTCCTTTCTCAAGGCTGGATACTCTATCTTTAAGCTCATTGATGATATCATGGAACTTTCTGGAGGTCTAAATGAGTCAGAATCATGTAAAAACCTTAGCCTGAACTTTCCACTGGGCCTGTATGGTACTTATCTGCTTTTCCCTCTCCCGTATTAAGTTATTATTGTATTTAATACTCGAATGCAAACTTTTTATTTTGTCATGAATATTCTTAAATTGCCAATAACTCTCTCTTTTAAGAGAGTCAACCTTGGTGTCCTTCCTCTTGTCAGTCTTATAGCCGAGATTGGAGATGATTATTTCCGAAATGGGTGATTTCACCGGGTTTAGATTGGGAGATATGTTCTTAACAGAGGGATTGGTGGACTCTTTACTTCCTCCGTGCATGTACCTATCGTTGTTCCCCATAAAGCTCTTTCTTATCTTCATACTGGATTCATTGTTCTTAGTCACGAAATACTGGATTTCATCGGATACTGAGTTTGTCTCATCAACTGAGTTGTTATGGCTCACTCTGGATGAATCCATTCTTAAACCATCGTTGAAAAATTCTTTTGATGTCGATTTGTGCCTGAAATTGCTCTTGATCTTTCGTGATCTGAGGGGCTTCATATCGGGATCATGAGTTTCACCAAGGTTCCGACTTGGTTTGTGTATCTTCTGAGCTGTCTTCCTCATGATTCTGTTCTGGTCTTCGAAATTGAAGACACTCCTTTTCCTTCTATTTTATATTAAAGTTTTTCGGAGGACTCAATATGTGCTTTGGGTTTGATATTCTTGAGATTTCTTCATTACTATGATTACTCTGAGAAGAGCTCTCTTCGAATTTTCTCTCATTTATTGACTTAATCACCCTTTCAGAGATAACACTTGATGGGCGAAGTCTTGAGAGCATTTCTTCTGTGTCTAATAATTCTGGGGGATTTAGAGGCTCTATGGGTTAGACAAACTATACTATTAATCACTTCTTCAATGTATTTCTCAACTCTAGTGATCCTCTCCTTCAAAAGAGAGATCCCAGTAGGTTTTTTCTGCCCAGTTTCAGTAATATCAGAGATGAATAAGGAGTTTTTAGAAAGATCAGTTGTAATTTTAGAGATCCTTTGGTTCAGCTTTTCAATCTCAAACTGCCAATTTTCCTACAGAAATTCATGATAAAGATTACCTGAATCTTTTCGGTTAGATCTCGGAGCTCTTGAGAGCTTGTCTTCAGTTCCAGAGATTTTCTTATATCTTCAATTTGTCGCTGAATCTTATTCTCTTTCACATCTATTTCGTTAAAAGTCTCATGTATGAATTAGAAAGATGTGTAAATTTCCAAACTAAAAATCCCGATAGCCTAAACGGTTCAGAATGTTTAAACCAGTGAGTTTGTAGCCAACCTAATAAGCTGTAATTTTTGAGGCAATCATGACTAGAGTCTAGAAGGGACTATACCTCGTTTTTCAATTTCATCCTTGACCAAACTGATGCCATCTATTTCTTGTCGTAAGTTGAACTATGTATTAATTTCAAGAAATTACTGAACTTTCGAATTCTGAAAATTTCGTGAATAGCTCATTTTGGAAGTCAGATTTGGTAAGATATCTATACTCAACTTCCGTCTGGAGATTCAAGACAAATGAGCTCAATATGCTCATCTTTTCATCAATGTTTTTCAGCACAGGAATTAGTTTATTGACGTTCCAAGATTTAGCCAACATGTCTAAAAATAAGGTGAGAACTCACCTGTTAAGCTAAAATTCTTCAGATTTCTTAATGCGTTCTTATCAGCCACAAGGCGAGCTTTATTCTTCTGAGTATTCGTGGTCTTCTTTGTTGATCTAAGCGACAGTGCAAAATTATCCATTTTATTTTATTAATTCTCACCTGAGTTTAGAGAATATGGGGTTTTGGGGTTTTGGGGTTTTGGGG